TAAAAGCTGAGAGGTTTAAGCTTAAAATAAACTTAAAACCTTGTCTAAGTAAGTCTTGTATACAAACCTCAAATTCTACCAAAGCTTGGCGTATTTTGGGCATCATTGTTATACATCTAAATAAAAGAAAAAAAATTAAACAAAACCAAGTCGTTTTCAAAAGAATGAATTAAGAAAACGGGAGCTTACGCAATTTTCCCGAATTGACCAAAGCTTTGCAAGATGTCTTGCTCGGTTGCTTCGTCCGCGACGCCACGGATATGAACGACACGCGAGGGTTCAGCATAATGTCGACCTTGATAACCTGTAAACTCTAATGTGTTGTCGACCCTAGCTCTTTTGTAGGGATTTTCTGAGTATTCATTTGAGGCATAGCCAGACGTTTCCTCAAATGCGTGCTTCTCCGCCATTTTGATCCTTCGGCACAAAAGCTTGGTCAGCGGACAACGTTCTATCAACAACGGAAATTTATCGATTGGAAAATTATATTCTGACTTCATTGATAATTAAATGGCATGTACATTGAAATACAGAAAGTTTTTTYAGAGTGAACCACTTACATGTAGCACTAAATTATGTGAGTTGTATTCGATGGAATTTTRTTTAAAAAACTTTATTTTCGATGTGATTCTATTCATACGAAGTTTACCGAGTGTCTAACGATCGTGTGACGATGGTTCCTCGAGTACTCTCGTATAATTTCGGTCAAATCAAAACGTAGGCGCGGGCGCGCGGTAAATTTTGAAATCTTATTATTTAGGACTCGCAGTCTAACGTTCTATTGTCGATTTTGTTCGACTTTTTGTTTTTAGGTCATCGGAAGCCTCTTTTAAAGAGACTCTGAATGTCCACAATGAGTGGTGTTGATGATGTATGTAACAGGAGTGATTGGGAGCTTAGCAAAGAAAATATTCAGCCGTTGAAGCGAGGAAGAAAAATGGCGAACCTCAGTGCTGCTTTTGGCGAAAGCTCAAATGAGTATCAATCAAGAATGCATCAAGAAATCCAGTAAGTCTAAATAGCAATAAGTGAACTGCATAAAATTTYATTGATTTTTTGTTCGTTTGTTTGTCGTTATTTTTTGCGCAGAAATTTTGAAGCGGCCATTAGAACATACGAAGGAGATGATGCCTTAGAAGTTTGGTATCGGTAAGCGTCATTGACCTCTGTGTGCATTGTTCTGATTATTTTAATGTAGCCAAAACATCTCTTTGTAGATACTTTGTRTGGTTCTGTGAAAACTTTCCTACTGGCGGGAAGGACCAGCACGTTTTACTGGAAAGGTGTATAACTTTGTTCAAGGACGAAGACAAATATAAAAACGACGAACGATATTTGAAGATCTGGCTAAGATATGTAAGTTGATTACGCTTAACTTATATTTTTTTGACTTGAAAATTGCTGTTTTTAAAAGATCGCTGGTTATACCCTGAGAATGCACAACATTGACAATCTCAATGTCTGCTCAAAATTTAACGTGCCAAGTCATACAAAGCTCAAAATGATATCCTATATCGACCGGCGTCTAACCCGCCATTTTGTTGTTTACAAAGCTTACCGACCGAGCAATGAAGATAGCCCTACCCCGGATATAACTCACTTGTAGAGTTTTCAAGGGGGGCTATGATTTGACCCTGATAGGGTGACCCTCCTAGTAGTGTGACTCTATCTCCATGTAAACATGGCCTAAAACTGGCCAGATAATGTGTAAATTTTTATTGTATTAATCCTTGAAAACTGCATTTTATGTGCTTAAAAAGGACTTGAAAAGTCCTGGAATTCTGTAATAAAAAATKKAATTCATGTAGTATTTGAGCCATAATCAATTCTTTTTTGGTTTCCAGGCAGATCTTTCTACAGATCCAGTCATTGTATTTGAATACATGCATAGCCAAGGAATCTGTATCAAGCTGACTGATTTCTATGAATACTGGGCGTATGTGTTTGAGAGACAGGGCAATGTTAAGAAGGCAGATGAACTATACAACCTTGGTAAAGATATAAAAGCACAGCCAATAGAGAAATTGCAGCGACTTCATAGGTGAGTTTTCATTATTATTAGTTCTTTTCTGAAACTTTCTTTTTAGCTATAATTAAATTACGATAAAGTGTAAGGAGAAGGAAACATTAAATTTTAATTTGCTGATCGTGTGACACCTATTTCATTTTAGGGCATTTGAAATGCGCCTATCAGAAAACTTCAAGCACAGCTCTATAGAGAGCAATGATGAGAGTGACAACCAGAGAACTGCACTAGTTGGACTGAAGGCTCATGGAAAGAGGGGAACAGTTGGTTTTAAGAGAACAGGAAATGCTGTACTAGGTAAAGGTTACAATAGCTGATTACAATGATACTTACATGTATRATTGTCAATCATGACCATTTATATATTATAAGGATCTTGTTTCAAGTCTAGTACTCCAGGTCAGGAAAGTCAAAGGGTCTTGCAAATGTAGAATATTGCCACTTCAACCAAATAGGCTCAAACAAGAAAACAACTCTTATTGTCATGGTTTTTCTTGTGGCCATTTTGAGGAATCTCAAATGCTAAACTTAGGGAAATTACAAAGACTCTCCCTATCYGCACCTTCTKCCAACGACAACATATTRAATATCTTGGACATGTCTGCMGACTCGGTAACTGGGCAATACAGAAACAAATCCTATTCRACACCAGGACACCAAACAAAATCTGGCTCAGAATTGAAAAACTGCTAAGTGTTGATAGGACTCAAGCCAGACGAGCGATGATGTCAAAAAYAGAACTCATGCGACTGATGGACGTTAGTCTACCCCCATCAGGAGCGCCCCAAGGCCAGACATGTGCCTAGTGTGAAGCAAGATGATGATGAATATTTCTGTCAGTACTCATTCATAGTCTCCTCTCAGAAAGGCAAATTGAAAACCAATCATTTGGAAGTCATGGAATTTCATCAGAGTATAATTATCCTGCTTTAATGGCACAGTTATGTGTGCCTTTTAAAATGGTGCATTGAACAGGGCATCCAATGATAGACTTGGCCACACTGCTGCCTCAATACAATACATGGCCCTAGCAACAGATCAATTACCATGGTTACTATCCATGCTACATCACAACAGACAACAATCACACTGACAATGACACATTACTATCACCMTTTTGCTGGATACTGCTGACCAGCAGACCCACAATAGCCAATTTACAAATCAAGACGAGTCGCAGTGCATAAAGCTCAGTCAATCATGAAAAACTATTGTCTTTTCATGAGATGAATGACTGAGCTTTATGCACGGCGCCTCATCTTGATTCCTTTGTGTTTGACTACTGAGGCAAAATTCACAAATTCACGGCTATTAAGCACCAAATAAACTCCCTCTGGACTTGCACAGCATAAGGTGGTGGATCAAGTCTCCTCAGTCCCAACTAAGATCTATAATCCTCAATAAGTTAAATATAGTTCATGCAATTTCAACTAAAATACATCAACAGTGATTGACGGTTGTTCAATTTGTGTGTATTGATTGATTGCAGCTTCTACAGGAGGTGTTGCAGCTTCTACAGGAGGTGGTATAAGTCATCCCAGACAGTCTAACAATAAGAATCCTGCTTTCACTGTTTTTAATGAAACTAAGGACATGAAAAGCATTGCCCCTTCAACAGGAGACTGGCAAATGCCTCCCACTAGACAAACAC